CAAAATACAAGAATACTTAAAATATTTAAATTTTTAAATTTTTTTGGAGTCAGAGGCTTGCTCTGTTGCCCAGGCTGGAGTGCAGTGGCATGATTTTGGCTCACTGAAACCTCTTCCTCCCAGGTTCAAGCAATTCTCATGCCTCAGCCTCCCGAGTAGCTGGGATTACAGGTGTGCCACCACACCAGGCTAATTTTTGTATTTTTAGTAGAGACAGGGTTTCGTCATGTTGGCCAGGCTGGTCTCAAACTCCTGGCCTCAAGCGATCCGTCCTCCTTGGCCTCCCAAAGTGCTGGGATTACAGGTGTGAGCCACTGCACCCAGCCAAAAGATAGTTTCTTAATAGGGTGTCTTCCCTCGGCGTTGTCCGTTCTAATTCTTTGTTCTTTCTTTCTTTCTTTTTTTTTTTTTTGGATACAGCATCTGGCTTTGTTGCCCAGGCTGGAGTGCAGTGGTGCGATCTTGGCTTGCTGCAACCTCTGCCTCCTGGGCTCAAGCCATCTTCCCACCTCAGACTCCCAAGTAGCTGGGACTACAGAAGCATGCCACCATGCCTGGCTAATTTTTGTATTTTAAGTAGAGATGGGTTTCTCCATGTTGCCCAGGCTGGTCTTGAACTCCTGAGCTTGAGTGATCCACCTGCCTTGGCCTCCTAAAATGCTGGGATCACAGGCATAAGCCACCGCTACCAGCCTTCTCCACTCTGATTCTAATGGCCAGTATTAGCTATTAAGAAAGCAAAAAAATTTTTGTAGTGTGGAGAAAAGGAATTCATCTAGTCTCATAAACTGGGACACATATCCATTTGCTTTTGCTCAAGTGCTAAGCTAACCAAACAACCTCTCAAATTGTATTTAGGAATACTGAGTTGGTCCATTTCAGCAAGTGGAAATACATACTCACTAAATAACCTGTTACTATTTATCTTGCCCAGGTCTTCTTTTGTTGTGAATTAATAGTTGTTCTGGTCTAAAAAGCAGCTGTGGGAAAGTTATTATGAGTCAATTATCTAAACCAGTGCCATCATGAAACTTCCTGTGACAATACGTTGTTCAACAGGGTACCTGGCCACATATGGCCATAAGCATTTGAAATGTGGCTAGGGAAACTGAAGAAGTGATTTATAGTTAATTTTAATTAATTTAAGTAGCCACAAATGGCTGCTGGCTACCAATTAGGCAGCACAACTCTAGATTCCTGCTACTTAAAGTGTGGTCTCAAAGAAGCATTGGCATCATCTTGTTAGCTTGTTGGAAAAGCAGAATCTCAGGTCACACCCCAGTCCTGGTGATTTAGAATCTCCATGATTATAAGATACTCTGCTGATTTGTCTGCACATTAACATTTTTAAAAGATATGGTTATTTATTTATTTATTTATTTTCTGACAGAGTCTCACTCTGTCGCCCAGGCTGGAGTACAGTGGCATGATCTTGGCTCACTGCAACCTCCACCTCCCAGGTTCAAGTGATTCTCATGCCGCAGCTACCCGAGTAGCCGGGACTACAGGCGCGTACCACCATGCCGGACTAATTTTTGTATTTTTAGTAGAGATGGAGTTTTGCCATGTTGGCCAGGATGGTCTTGAACTCCTGCTTCATGTGATCTGCCTGCCTCAGCCTCCCAAAGTGCTGGGATTACAGGGGTGAGCCACCGCACCCGGCCAAAATGATTACTTTTAAAAGGATATGGATTAGCTGAAAAAAGTGATGAGCAACAGATCTGTAGTGACCCTTCCAAATTGCAGACACCCACTCTTGAAACTGGTATCCATCATAAGGGGCCTGCTTCTTTTTTTGTATCTGTCTCTCTCCCATACCTTGAACATAGCAGAAAGAGGAAAGGGAGGCTGGGGATGATGGCTTACACATGTAATTCCAGCACTTTGGGAGGCCAAGGAGGGCAGATCCCCTGAGGTCAGGAGTTCCAGACCAACCTGGCCAACATGGTGAAATCCCGTCTCTACTAAAAATATAAAAATTAGCTAGGCATGGTAGCGGGCACGTGTAATCCCAGCTACTTGGGAGGCTGAGGCAGGAGAACTGCTTGAACCCAGGAGATGGAGGTTGCAGTGAGCCAAGATTGCGCCACGGAACTCCAGCCTGGGTGACAACAGAGAAACTCTGTCAAAAAAAAAAAAAAAAAAGAGGAAAGGGAGAGGAGAGAGCCTGGAACAACACTGGGGTGAAAAGTATGCAATATGGAGATGAGGGGTGGGGTGGGAGGAGCATGTGTTTCTCAGGAATATTTGTACAAAACAAAATGATGACATTTCTTTAATGATTATTGAAATGGGTGATGGGTATATCGGAGTTCATTGTACTATTTTCTCTACTTTTGTGTATGTTTGAAAATTTTCAAAATTAAAAAACAGATGTAACTTCAGAGATGATGTGTGTGATAACCAGCCTCCAAGATGGTCCCAATGATCCTCTCTTCTTGGTATTTGTGTCCTTGTGTAGTTCTTCCATATTGAATCAGGGATTGCATATATGACCAAAGTGGAGGTGATACCCATCACTTCAAAGAGCCAGATCACTGTGATGTCTGTCTTGCTATCCCTTGGATCTCTTGCTCTGAGGTAAGTCATCTACTGTGTTGTGAGGATACTCAAGTCATCTTGTGGAAAGACCTTTATGGAGAGGAATAGAGGTTTCCTGCCAACAGCCAGCCACACGAAATTAAGTGAGCCTCTATGGCCCCAGTGAAGCCTTCTAATGATAGTAGCTCCATCTAACGTACAACTGCATGAGAAACTGCCAAGCCAGAACTGTCCACCAAACTGCTCTTGAATCTCTGACCAACAGACACTGTGAAAGGCAATAAATGTATATTGTTGTAGGAAGTCACTAAGTTTTGGGGTAATGTGATTGTACAGCGATAGATAACTGATGCAATGTGATTTCAAGATTCTTCACTCCTTGTCCTCCAGAAAGATTATCCTCCTCATCTTTTCAATGATACCTGAAATGAACAGGAACAGAAAGACCTTTCTCCTTTCTTTCTTTCTTTTTTTTTTTTTTTTTTTTGAGACAGGGTCTTGCTCTGTCACCCAGGCTGGAATGCAGTGACACAAACATGGCTTACTGCAGCCTTGACCTCCAGGGCTCAAGTGATCTTCCTGCCTCAGCCTCTCAAGTAGTGGGCACCACAGGTGCGTGCCACCATGCCTTATTATTATTTTTTTTTTAAGAGACAGAGCCTCACTATATTGCCCAGGCTGCTCTCAACTCCTGGGCTCAAGCAGTCCTCCTGCCTCAGCCTCCCAAAGTGCTGGGATTACAGGTGTGAGCCACTGCACCTGGCAGAAAGACTTTTTCACACTATGCGAAAGGTTAACATGCTAATACTCCTTGAAGAGATAATATATTCACTAAAATTCATGGTAAAACATGTGACAGATATAAATTCTTTCTTTTTAAAACTCTTAGCAAGCTAATCTATTGAGACATTAATTTCAGTCTTGATCTTGCGGTTGTAAGAGACTGGAAAGAATAAAAAGGTAATTTCCCGCTTACGGTCCACCATCTCAAGAACAGCTAACATCTTGAATGATAAGGTCTAGGCTCTTCCTGCATCTCTCTTTCCTCACCCCCAAACCCAAACAACATACACTAGTAACAGCTTCTTGTTGTTTCAGGGGCCACCCTAAAGAAGACACCCCTCCACCTCTACCACTGGCCTTCATCTTGAGCATTAGGTAACAGAGAAACTATGTTGGAATTGCTCCATAAGGGGAGTGGGGAGCTGGCACTGGCTTAGGAAGAAGGCAAGTGGCCAGACCTAAGGGCTGAATGACTTCCTCCAGGCTGCGAAGGGTTTCGGAGTTTCCAGGAATGGAAATTGTCCCTGGCTTGTATGCAGTCTGTGTGTGTGTGTGTGTGTGTGTGTGTGTGTGTGTGTGTGTGTGTGTAGCAGGTGGAGTGGTGAGACGTGCATGAGGTGTCTATAAAGGGGTGTTCTGGGGCCTGGGCCCACCAAACATCCCCTTTCCCCCCACTCCTGCGCAGCTTGCTTGCAGGCTAAGGAGCTGTGCCCTTCAGTGGTTCCTCAAGGGTCATGAACTAGCAGCATCAAGACGGGGTGGGTAGGGGGGAACACTTCCCCCAATTTTTGAGACCCCACCACTACGGAGAGAAGGGGGGAACCTCAGAATGTGACTAATGAATTTCCCGCCAACATTGGCAGGCGGGAGCTGAGCCAGATTTCTTTAATTTGCGAAATTAAAAGACATGTGACGCCTCTTGCCCGAGTAGGTGCAGCGATTCATTTCAGACTTTTCCTGAGAGCGGGTCTGTGTAGCGAGAAGGGTGCTGGGGAATGGGGGATGGGAGAATGGGGATGGAGGAAGTTATAGCTGATCCTAAGGGGCCACTGCCGCACTTCCTGCCAATTTTCGTCTTTAGTTCAGCGTCCCGAGCTCTCTTTTTGAGGGAAGGACCCCGCGCGCGTCCGCCCGGCCGGCTCCGACACAAACACACGCACGTGCGC